GACATGTTCTCTTGAGATGATCCAAAGGGAAACACAGGCAGCAGGCATATCAAAAGTACATGCAATCCTCACCACTAACTTGCAATCTCAGTCGCACAAATGCCTGAACCAAATGCAAAGGCTGCTTAGGGAAGGGACAGGAACATGAACTTGTGACCCAGTTGAATCTGCTGAAAAAGACCTTGAGCCAGAGAGCCTTTCGTAGAGTGAGGCTTCTAGACTTAGCGAGTTGGTGGTCTTTCTTGGAACGTCTCCAATGGTTGGAATGCGGATCTCATCAAACAGATGCGATTACGACTTCTTGGAGTCGGCCTTCTCTAACGAGTCCTCGCTCTCGCAGGCTCGTGACCAAGTGCTACGAGCCACCCAGTCTCTTGGTGAAGACGATGGGTTGTTTGCTGGAGGGAACTGCTGAAGATGTTCCTTTGCTGGCGCTGCTGCTGGTTGAAGTGTTGTGCATGTTCGGGTGTTTCAAGCGTTTGATTCCACAATCTAGATTTGCCAGGTCTTTGCAGGAGTGGCTTGCAAACAGTGCTGTGAATCTGAGAGGAACCATGTAAGTAGAACTTGCGGTCTTGCGGTGTCTTACAGCGTTGTACAGACAGAGTAATACAATGTCTTATATTGGTGCTATGTGGCTGAGGGACAAGCGCCAACAGCAGATCTGCGCCAAGAAGGAGCAGAGAGCAGAGCGCATGCAGAAGTTGTTGGAGGCAGACCCTGAGCACAGGCAGACAGGCGGAGGTCCAGTCGCAACCCATGGCCCTAATTGAAATCTCGGTCAGTGGATGAAAGATGACTCTAATTTTGGAACCCTTTGGACCAGCACCGGGACTTCCAAACCCGGGATGGCCCTCCACCCACCTGTCACTTGTGGAGGCACAGCGAGAGCTGGAAGAGCAGCGCTTGGCCAGGCCAGATGTTGTTTCCACATGTTTCCACCACAATAGCCCAGCACAGCTGCAACATGATGGTTTGATGCTCCATGATACTGCCGTATTGCCACCGGCAAACCTTGACGCGAATGCCATCATTTTCCTTGAGAAATATGCCTGGCCCCATGGCCCTAGTAACAAGTGCATTACTACTAGTAGCAAGAAGCTACTGTAACAAGGTGCATCGCGACGGTATACTAACAAGAAGCTAGTAATAACAAAGGGCATCGCTAGGAACAAGTGCATCGCTATTATATAGTAGCTAATTTGCTACTAGGTTCATGATCAATGTTATGGTTATTGATCGCCACCACACACCTGAGGTACGAGGAGAAGCAACGCTTGCATCAGCACAATTCGGGCGCTTTCTCGGCGAGACAGCGCGTGCAACATGACAAGGCGCACGGTGAAAGACTAGATACTACTAGCAAATTAGCTACTAGATGCTAATAGTAACAGGTGCATCGCTACTAGTAACAAGTGCATTGCTACTAGTAACAAAAAGCATATTTTTTTGGCTTTGTTACTACTAGCTTCTTGTTAATTACTGGTAGCGATGCCCTTGTTACTCCTGTACTATCTTCTTGTTACTAGTAGCGATGGACTTGTTACTACTGCTTGCATTCGTTCCATCTCGAATTCTTGGTGATCTATTCTCTTTTCAGATATTAGTAGGTTCGTCGGCTACACCCAGCAAAATCCACAACGGACCGACCAATCTGTGGCCTGGGTGTAGTTTTTTGGTTACAACCAGCCGGGCTCCACTGCCCCAGACGCAAAGCACCTTCAAAGAGCTGCAAGCTCGACGGGCAGAGGCTGGATGAATGAGGATTGCTTCCGCACAAACTCCTTCGGATCACGACTGATGTTGATCTTTTGCTCTACAGATTTGAGGTCCGTTTTGGGGGGCAGGGTCTTGACTGGCACTCACATTGAAATTGGTGAACATCCTCAACAGAGCACCATGAACACAAGCTCAAATCGAGGCACGGAGCAATGCAGATCTGCAGAAGGCGAGCTGCCTGGCTCTTTGCGCAAAAACACGTGGTTCCAGAGCATCGGAGCATCCTGAAGGTGTCACCTTGAGTTACTCCCACACCTTTGAATCGAATGATCCCAACGCAGACAGACCACAGTCTTACCGACAGACCAGCGAGGAGCGTCGCCGGAGCGACATGGAGCAGAAGGCGGGAGCCTGAGATGTTCGCCTTGGAGACCTTCCAAGGGACCTAAATGGACCAAATGGGTCTGTGGAAGTCTGGGATAATTTTGGATCTGATTCAAACATATCAAAATATAGTCAACGGGCTGCACCGCATCACATTTCGTTCGGGGCAGACCACACTGAAAACCCTGAGTTCAATTAGGGCATCCCCACGCCCCGGTCTCCAGCCGTTCTCTTTCACTGCACTGGCTCCTTTGCCATATGCCAGGCTGCTCAGAAAAGTCAGAAGTTGGAGAACATGAACTCTGACAGGCATTGCTTGCTTGCTTGCATTGTTTGTATTTGCTCATGGCTCATGCACTCAGAGAATGCTTTTCCAAATGCTCTGCTTTGGAATGGTCAGTTTCGGCACCGGCTGCCGATGAAGATAGATATTCACTTCAAGGGGATGTTTGTGCCTTCCGAATTCAATCCAGCCTCATGAACCTTGCACCTCCAAGGCTGCATGACGATGCGTAACATGCGTGGTAGACGTGAAACAGCGACCACACACTTACACCCTGCAGGCAGAAGCTCTGGGAGATTCGGAAAACTGCTCACAGAGAGGCCCGCCGTTGACTCTTTAATTGGGGTGTCTACTGTATGTGGCTATCTATGCTATCTCTATCTTACCGTGATTATGTCATTCCTTTGACCAGGCCGCACGTATTTTGCGCGATGCCAAGAAAGAGGTCCATCGACAAGCGATGAGCTCAAGGCCGGAAGACACTGCTCCGCTCCGCCGAAGACACCGAGCAGCGACGAGAGACGGGCCGGCTCAGGTACAGCGTGAAATGGCTGCAAGAGCAGATGGGCCAACTCGAAAACGAAGGGTTGGCTACAAGGCCCTGTTCTCAGCTTTGAGAAGCTGTTAACAACTTGCCTACTGAAGATGCTTACTTTGAATATCTTTAAGTTAAAGTACATTTTGGAATTGACAGATATTTTTGGCGGAATGACTTGGGCACACATGATTGATGACCTCTCTCGTGGCAGTCTGCCCATCAGCAGCACTGGCAGCTCCTCAGCGTCCATCCAGGAGAAGTGCTTTTGGGGGTTAGGCCATGGGAGGGTACTGTGTCAGTAAGGTAGCTAGATAGATCTGTGATCTGAATAGCAAGAAGAAGCTGGACACATCTATCTGCCAGTAGTGGATTGAGGCAGAGCGGGTCTGAAGACGTTTGTGAAGAAGGGCTTGGCTTCCATTTGGGTTCCCGAGTTTGGAAGGAATCTTCACCGATGAGAAACGACAATCAATGGTCCCAAAGCGATCTTGGGAACTTGACCCAACTGACACGATCTTGGCAGACACTTCTTTTCGTCATAGGGCGCTCCTGAGTGGAAGAGATGCGCTTGTTCACTTAAAGGCGCTCTCCGATCCAATTGAGAAAGTAGCAACCACATGCGAAGAACAATTACATGTTTTCTTTTTTGGTTGTCTTTTGTTGCCAATGGATGAAGTATGGGAGGACGCTAAGAAGCCACTGGGCTCCACGGAGTGCCAGGTCTTGTTTGGCTTGAGACGACGGAGTGCCAGGACCAAGAAGAGCCAGACACCAGGTGAGCCCGGGTTTCGCTCTGCTGGTGAGCCCAGGTCTAGAGTGACAGCAGGATGCCAAGAGTTCTCGTTATGTTTTTTTTTTTTTTAATATTTCTTTTTTCTTCCTTGGGGGATGTGTTTGGTAGGATTTGGTAGGTAGACTTTGAGGATCTTTAATGTCACTACTTGTGCGTTGTCTTCGTGGCAGACGGGATTGAAGCTCGCAGTGAAACCGGGGGGGTTCAATTGAAAGAGACGCTTGATGCCGGGGGAAGCGGAGCATGAATTATGGGAGGCTTTGGTCATTGACTCGGCGATAAATAGATCGAAGCAGATCACGGCAGATCTACCGAACATCTGAAGCCGTTTTTGGATCAAATTTGGCCTGGAAAGACTCACGGCTCTGATTCTTCAGCTCCTTGGCCAAAGACTCATGACACTTTATGACATGTTATGACCTGTGAGAACAAAAGCTGTAGATGTCTGCAGAGTCTGCGAGTCAGTCAATTTGAGACTTGCGCATGTGCTTCTCATCTCACGCTGAGAATCTGCTTCAACCGCCAGGACGACCTTGTATGGCACCTGTGGACGGAAAGGTGTCGCTCTCGCTGTGCCAAATGCTTGAGGGTGAAAAGAAGGCCGCGACGGCAGCATCCTGGCAGCCGATTTTGGCCGAGATCATGCTTAAGATGCCTTTGCGAAAGGTAAACACACTGTGTCAAAAAAGTCAATAAATAATTTGCGAACCCTTCATGCGCGAGAGCTTGCAAAAGCTCTTCTTTAGATATCAGCAGACATTCACAGTAATAATTGACGTGCATGTAAGTAATTAAGCATTCCATGGTACATATAGAGCAGCCCGGTTTCGGCACAAAGTGCGGCGTGCAAAAGCCAAAACACAAGCGGGAAAAGGTTATGAACAAGAATTAGTTATAGACAGCCTAGTAGAACTACTTAGAATAGGTTCTCGATAGGGTTGACCTCTATTTTCCAGGGGAACTTCCCAAACACGGAAGGTCCTTCTAAGAAGCGGCATGCGGCCATGTCTGAACTGAGGCACTCAAGGCAGGCGCAGAGGATGAGGACGGTGATGGGATGGAGGTGGCTGCTTGGTGGTTTTCAACCACTTGTTTGATGAGCTAGTTAGGTAGCTACTAGGTGGAGGCCATCGCAATTAGGTTGGAGGCCCATTACTAGTAGTAACAAGAAGCTACCAGTAGCAAAGGGCATTACTAGTAGTAGCTCCTCTCCCCATGTTTGAATTCAGCCGCACCTTTTGGCCCAAGAGAAGCTGGCAAAACCCTGGGAACTGGCGGGATGGATGGCTATTGTAGCTATGGCATTGTTGGCACTTGCCTCTGCGAATTCGACGGTGCCCAATGAGCATGAGCACTTCTACGACTTTTTGATGTATACGACCCAAGGCAGACCCCGGCTGCGTCAATACCTGGTGCGGAAAATGCTCCTACATCTCTCCACAGCTGCATGGATGCCTCCTGCTTGCCCGGCACCCAATCGGCCATTACGCCGTGGACGGCAGGGGATATCTGAGCTGAAAGTGCTGGTTCTCATCACAACTCCTGTGAAAGCGATTGAATGGCGGCAGATGGTGCGAAAGACTCTCCCAGAATTAACCTCGAAGCTTCATTGTTAAACATCCATTTTAGCAATGTTAACACATAGACAATTTGAATAGAGCCGGATATAGTTACTGTATAGTTATTCAGTTATTCTTTTGCAGTTGAAATAGGAATACGAGATCTAGCTTGAAGTGTCCTTTGGAATTTCTACTACTGCACTCACTCCAGGGCTTGAGATGAATGACATTCTTTACTCTTAGATGAAGGGGACATTAATATAAAGGAAAGTGAGGAGTCCTGACGTTGCTGACATGCCACGACAATGAAAGGAACATTGAGCTTGGATGTCGAGTGGTTATCGTGCCACGCTTTGCTGTGGGCTCCAAGACAGTGACAAACCATCTCCAGCAGGAGGCAGACTTCTATGGAGATTTAGCGATCCTAAATATGACGGACACCTTTATCTCTTCAGGGCAGAACTCGCAAAAGACCTGGTTGTCTTTCGACTGGGCCCTGAGATGGCATGGGGACGCCCATTTGATTTTTCATCAAGACGGTGACACTCTGGTCGATTGGCGTCAGGCCTTGCCGCGTTTCCTCCAACGGATTTTCCCAGCCTTGCCCGAAAGGCGAGAGCTACGGCATTTGCAATTGGGACGTTTGTGTGACTCGGAGTGACAAAACTGTCCAGAATGGTTTTTGTCCAGAAGATCCGACCCAAAGTCGGATGGTCACATATAGTCTCCTTTTGTTTTCTTCATTGGCCCCCTCTCAGGATTCAGACGTGAAAAGCTTTCCGTTCGCATTTGAGGTGAACGTACACCTTCACACCTCTTGGCTGGGTGCCCTGGTGCTGTCGAGCTCGAGCCTTGTGGTGCTGGCTCCCTCTATGGCTTCTCCACTGATGTGGTTCGTTGGATGGTGGAAACTCAGCATCCCGAGGCATCTTTGCCCAACTTAAGTTGAACCGTAGGGCTAGGTGATCTTTCGCTAGATGTTTTCCAAGCAAGCCTTCGTTTTGTTTTTTCGCGTTGCCTTTGAGGTTGGTCATCGCATGAACTATGAGGACTTGCACGCTTGTCGTTGGGCTCGCCGTTTCGAACAGCATTTTGGAACGTCATTGGATGTTTGTGGACTCCTACGTGCGCGGGATTTCCAAAATGCTTGGATTCATCCTCTCAAGGACACTGTAGACATTGAGTGTTCTTGGTTTAGCCCCCAACTCAACAATATGAGTGCATTTGGATGCATTTGGCAGCATACTTGATTGTGCTATTAGTTAAAAGCTGGAAGCAGGGTCATTTTAATCCAGTTTGGTTGGTCATTTGTTGAACAGTCTGACTCCTTTCTGTCATCATTTTGGCTGCTTTTACCCCCCTTGTGTCGCGGTTTTGGATTTCTGCGCTCAGGACCAGCAAGCATATCTCAGGTGTTTCCACAATCGGACGCACGGATGCTGGGCCAACGATCTTGGACTTCAGCGACTGCACTTTGTGATCCAAAAAGCGCGGCGTTTCAAACCATACTTTGCAGCAGCATAGAGATTGCATATTGAGGTTCCTCGGAGACACTGTCTGACCGGAAGAATAGATGTAAATATTGCGTCCACTGAAGGTCTGCAATGGGTCTCAATTCCACTATGGGAACTAGCGTGAACTAGCCACCCCTTGCATAAACAATACTTCACCTTTTGTGCAGGTTACAGGACAGGGTAGTCTTTTTTGGGACGAATGATTCACTGCTCTTGGGCTGGTCTCAGGGAGAGGTGGAGGCCGGTGGATACTGCAGGAACACACCGCACCTCCCAAGAAGAGTTTCCAGCCCTACCACGCACAGAGCGTGCCCAAGTCGGAAGACCTGGAGGCACTTTTTTTCAACATGAGCTTTTGGAGAGTCCTGAAGTGCAATGAAGAAGGGCAAGTTCTTGTAGCTGCGCTCTCAATGTTTACTTCTTGACAGTTTGACATGCGTTGTTGCTTGAAGCAGGACCTTTTAGGCAGATCCTTTGTATCTCTTGGCTGTGAGACATCTTTGTGGGTGAACTGCAGACCTTGCGGATAGGAAAGATGCCGAGTCTGTGCAGGCGGTTGCATTCAGCCGACAAAACAGCGGAGATGTCGGGGATGCCGGATGCCAAGCGGGGGTTATGATAGCACTGACTGTCACGCGACATGAGATTTGAGTTAGAGGTGTTTGCATGCACAGACTTGCGCTTGCGCTGTGTCCGGCTGGAAAGTGCTTTCAATAACTTGAATGATACATGCAACACTTGTGGTGCTGCTTCACAGCCCTACAGATGCCTGTGGCCTGTACTTCTGGTGCCTGTTTCCTTTCCGATGAGGTGACCACTATGATGCTCCGTAATATTCCCAACAAGTACACACAGAACTCCTTACTCCAGGCCAGGCCTCCCGGTCTTTGTTACTGGCAGACAGCATTTAGCCTTTAAAAGGGGCTGGGTAAGGCCGCTAAGTACTAGGTTCACCAACTACTAAACTTGGGACTTAGGACGCGGACGCAGAATGGCTCAGGAATCTTCAAGGAGCTCCCGCTGCCTGAGGGCGGTGGCAGCTTCCTTGAAGAAGCCTTCGCGTGATTGACTTGGTAATAAAAGAGTTCTGATGCAAGTAAACTAGAAACAATAAGCTACTAGTAACAAGTGCATCGCTCCTAGTAACAAGTGCCTTACTAGTAGTAACAAGCTATTAGAAACTGTCATTCTGAAAGTTGGCACCTTTCAACCGTCTCTCTTTGTCGCTGGGCATCTCATGAAATCGTTTTGTTGGCTTCTGGGCCGTGTTTCCTGCACTAGGTCACTAGGTGTACCACAAGGGTATTTGTGGAAGACACGGGGAGGCTTTTGCGATCAATCCGGGAATGGACACGGCATCCCAAACGACACATGTTGATGAACATGAACATTGCAGGAGATCAACGACTTGGGTTTTGCAGGCACCTTCGATTTCTTCTACCTCCCGTACCTCAGCTGTAGGTTGAAGGGCGTGGGTCAGGTATCACAGTAAGGCAACTCAGATCTCGAGAACACGGCCACAGGAGGATTGTAAGATCAATGACGGGGGTGCCTTTGGAACGTTTTTTGTTTTTCCTGGAGATCTTCAGCAGCTAACCCGACTGCCTGGATGAACCGGGGCCTCAGGATGGACGTGCACAACCGCAGCAATGTTGGCTACGCCTTCATCAATTTTCTGCGTCCTGACGATGCTGCAGCTTGTCCTAGATGAGATCAAGATGTAAGGGAGAAGGTGGATAGGTCACATCTCTCAATGCCCTGCATCCTTTGTCAGTCTTTCTTGAGGTTAAAAACACCTATCAATATCAACAAAGTATATAGGCTGAATGGCGTCGCTGAATGGTGAGCGCCTGACAGCATTCTGATTTCTGCAGTATTCGCGGCTCTCGTGCATTCAAGGAGCTGTTCCGCCAAAAGTTCTCGGATCATCAGTTCCAACGATTCCAGAGCCGCAAGATCAGCAGCGTTTGCACTGCACATGTTCAGGCGAAACGTGGGGAGCCAGGCGACATCAGAAATGCTTTAGAAGCAACATGAAGGAGGTGTCGAAAGAGCACTCAATTGTATACTTAGCTTAGGCCTAGACATGCTTGGACACTTGGATGAAACAATTTGGACAAAAGAGTTCATGCCAGTCTGCCATACAAGCAGTCATTCATCAAGTTGCCCTCATGCTGTGCAACACGCTATTCATGGTTATGAAAGTCAAGTCCATGGGTGTTTCCCCTGCTACAAGCAACCGGATTCAGCAATCCTCAGGACCATGTGTTGCAAAGTGAAACAACTGTGTAGAAGGAAGCTAAAGTGACTCCAAATGTAAATACAGGGATCTAGCAGTTTACACGCACACACAGGGGGCAGCGTTGACGTGTCAGCAAGAAAGTCACATTGTGTGACGGGAGCTATGAGCCAAGCAAAAACAACACATGTTTGGATGCCAACAGTTGGTTGCTAAGGAGCCTACACAAAATGCCAAAATGACTTTAGTCAACCAAACACATGTCAGCAAAAATAACAACAATTGCAAGTGCAAAACAAGAATGTCAATGCCACGGAACGCCTATGACAAGTATCACTCACGAGTAAGACAAGGGTTGGACACCCAAGCTTATGTCACCATCATCTTGTCCCCCAAACCTGTCACAGGCAGAATGCAGATGGTAGACCTGTGAAAGCATTGGGCTCTTCGTTCCGAACCTCCAAGTGATATACACGAGATTTAGCTTCTGCGCAGAGATTGCTTTTTCAGGGCTTGCACGAGAACTTACGGCACTTCCAAAACCGCGCCGTGACGCACGCGAGGCGCGAAAATACGGAGTCCAATGGTTTTGTAAATGAAGTTTGCAGTAGGAGATCCGCTTCTCTTAAGAGGTTTATGGAATGGACCCACAGACTTTTTGGATCGGTGGTTTTGATGTTGCTCCTTTGATCTCTGGTCTGCTCCAGGAACGATCAGTACAGACCTGTGGTTTTCCGCAGCTTGGATATGAACTGTCGTCCAAGATTCTACTTCGCTTTTCTTCGAACTGTCCCCACCTGACAAGGCTGCTTCCGCCAAACAATGTTGAGAGAATTTGACATTGCTATTTGATACGACATTGTGATTTACTACAACGCTGTCTTTGGAAACACTCGTGGCTTGCCAATCCCCAATGCTGTGGCTCTTCTGGCTTGTCATTGATGCTGTGATTGTGCTTGCCACTGCTCTTGTCATTGATGCCGTCAGTGAGGTTATTTATCGTTTCTGTTCTTACTGGTTGTAGCCACTGCTGTTGTCATTGGAGCTAGTCATTTCTGTGGCCGTTGCGGCTTGGTGTTGATGTCATTTTGTTGCAATGGCAGCAGGTGCCCCGAAGCAGTAGGGCCGGGTTTGAGCAACGGCTGAGGTAATGGCTGCCGTGTGGACATTGAGGACATCCTCGCAGAAGGAAAGACCTCTGGCTCCGAGGATGAGAAGGAGAAGAAGAAGAAGGCAGGGTAGCCATCACCATCTCTCGGGTGGACTGCGCGTGGACTGTGTCAAGTCTATGTCACGTGGACTGCGCGTAGGCAAAACCCTGTCTTGCACAACCTTGCGGGACCAAGCGAGCAAGCACAACCCTCGTGTGAGGTAGCGCTGTGGCAAGCAGAAGTATAAGCAATCTATATATGACAAGGGTTTATCCCGCATTTTGGCAGAAGCTCATATCAATTCGATTTTTGAGCAAAAAAGAAGCCAGCAACCACTGATGGACGGGTCAGCTTCTTTGTGTGGTCGCAGAATTTTCTTCAATTTATCATGGGCAAGCTTGACAACTACTGGCGTGAAACCAGCTTTGAAGTGAGAACCGCTTTGGGATATGCTTTTCCTGACCCATGCCTCAACATGAAACTACCCTTGCCAGCCCCGTTTGTGACGTTCATGTGAGCGCCAGACGGACACTTACTTTGTCATAAGGGAACCATTTGGGACTCGGATCTTTTTGTTGTCGGATCGTGAATGGCAGGAAGAACGTAAGGCCAAGGGCAAGGCTGAACCAAAGCGTTCGGAACTAAGCGGCTCCTCCATGCTCTTCCATGCCTTTGAAAAGCATACGTAGCGGTGCTTGCAAGGTTTTCTGAGCCCTGTTGTCCATAGTTTGTGTGTATTGCTTGAGACAAGAGGATAGACTTTGAACATTTTTGAACTATCTGCCGAATCTACAAAATTTGTCAGTTTGTAAGTTTCACCAGCATTCTCACCTACAAACGCAGGGCTTTCCTGGCCGGGAGAAACACCTGAGGCTTGCCCACTGCGAACCCCAAAGCTGGTGCGAAAAACAACCGGGCAAAGGGCCAAGAAGGCCGGAATCAGATCAACTTTTGCCCGGCTGTCTGATGAGGAACATGTTTTTTGTTTTTTTGACTAGCTTCGCTAGGCTTGGAGGAGGCCATTCGCCAGAGTTTGGAGGCCTTGCAAGAGCGCATGGCCCACGAGACGCAGGCAGGGCCTCTCCTCAAAGCCTTCACAGCAGGTTTGGAGCCTTGTTGAGACTGAGACGGATGTTTCACATGAAATGGGACGTGTGCTTTTGTGTGTGTGTGTTTCCTTTTTCTTGGTTTGCTTCTGGAGGGAGAGCTTGAGAGGGTTTGCAAGACAGAGCTGCAGTCACTAGGGGATTCCACCATTGGTCATATCACTGCTAGGTTGTGAACAGGTGTGCTCCAACGCTCCTATTTCGGTTAACAAGCAGTGGGTCACCCTTTGACATGATAGATGAGGGGCAGACGTTATCGAAGAGATGGAATTTCATTTTGCAGAGGGGCGGTCCTGTAGACAGCTCGACATGCCTTTGACCTTCCTCTTGTCCATGATGTTTGATTGAACTCATCTCTTGTCAAAGTCTCAAAGCCCCTAGACTCTAGACTAGACCCTACGCCCTAAGCTGCCTGGGCTCTTCAATCCTATTCGCACTGGTCAAAGAATCAACGCATTTGTAGATCTCCACCTGACAGGAGACGCCCTTGTCACCACCTCCAGGCTTCTGGACTTTTCGAGGGCATACTGAGGGAAATTCGATGGCTGGCGCCGAGGTTTTGAAGGTGAACAGAGGTGAACATGCACAGCATGCACAGGTAATGGTTTTGTTCACATGCAACCTAGTTTGTGGGATACCGATGAAACAAATGACACATGGAGCTGGAGAAGATTTGTTATGGTTATTACTATTACTGTACTATTACTATACAGTCTTTTTTCCGGAACAGTCGCTCCTATTGCTGTTGTTGTTGTTGTGGTGGGTGTGTAAGTGGTGGCCGTCCACTTCCTCTTGGATGAGTGCAAACATACATTAAAGTTTTAATTGTTCGACACCGTCTTTGTACTTCAGCGGTCTCGTGAAAGGACTTTAGTAAGGAAAACTCCTTCCACAAAGCTAACACCTGAAGTGAAGGGGGTTCTGCCAGCTTTCGCTTTTCCAAATCCAAGGCCTCATTCAGCCCTTTGAAGCCACGGACTCTGGATCCCAGCTGGGGCAGGCTCGGGATCGGGCACCAGTTGTGTACAGGTTGACCCTCAAAGTACCTGAAACGTACGACTGTTCCTGAAGCGTGAGCTCAGACATCGGCGCTGTGGGCCACCCCCAACCAAGTACTGGGACACAGAGTTGGAGGCCATCGCTCTTAGGTTGGAGGCCATCGCTATTGAGTAGTGGGACACAGGCTTCGTGATCCGCGGACGTGATGGAACTGATGCGATTGAAAGACCTTGCCAGCATGCGGGCAGGAGCAGGAAGTGATGCAGCTGCTGAACCTACGAGGCCGGTTCACACAGCCAAGACATGCCAAGACGTCAAGGATCTATATAATTTGTTCTGTGTACTTGTAGTTTGCAGGGATTTTGTGCGCTGCTTCTATTTCGACCCATCTTCATGGCCCTTCTGGAACTTGCTCTTTTGACGCACCAGGTCTACTGCTGGATCGCCTTCTGCAAAAGGAGGTGCTGCCCCTGCTTTGGACATGTCTAGCAGTGTCTAGCAGCTCAACTCCCAAATCAGATTCAACCTCTAGTCAGATCGCACCGTTTTCTTGGAAAGACATGCTACCACGTTGGGCCCCTCCGTCGAAATAGCACGACTTGTGGTCTCAAGTCAGCCACAACTCCACGACCGGGTTGGCGGAAGGTCGAAACCAGGTTCACATGCGTGCTCACATGCCGCTTGCCACGGGATGCAACAGGCACATATTACGTGCCCGTCCGCCAGGAGAATTTCGCCTACAACCAAGCAGCGGCTTTCTTGGCGATGCAGCAGCTGCAGGAGACGAAACTCACCAACTCCCTTCCTCCCAAATAGATGAGGATATATGAGGACTCGGAGGACAATGACTACAGCCCTAAGAGATTTGGCCCAACACTTAAACTGAATATGACTGAACCTTTTTGGCTCTTCAACTTTCCAGTGGAGTTGCACAGATTTCAAGGCATGTTTCCAGTTTCCAACGTACACGGTACATTGAGCCATGGACCCCAGCAAGTAACACAATGGTAGATTCCTCGGACTTGTATCGTTGAAGGAGTGGGAATGAAGGATGGCCCCCCTCAATGACTGAAATGGCGACTGTCGTTGTTTTGTTGTTTACGAAGGAAACTCGCACTTGAACCCGGCCTGTCCTGGCAATTACTACCAGCCCGGTACCCTTCAGTACCCTCCAGCTTCGACTCGCCTGGTAGGAGCAGCAATACATGCAGATGCAAAGCCCACCCATGTGCCCTATGCAACTTGGCACATCCTGTGTCTACTTCGTTGGAGAGAGAGAGAGAGAGTAGAGAACTGCTCCCAGTCGGCTTCGCCAATGCTTACATGCCAATGCTTACATGTTGATCTTTGAAGTTGTCTTGGAATGATTTCCTATATCGTCCCAATGCTTCCGAGGTCTTCGCCATACGCACAAGAGGCAAAATGGGAGGATCCAGCCTATGTGGATGTGATGCTCTTTTGCGATTGATATCGATTGATGATTTTGCCACGCAAACAACATACCCCAGATGTCAGATATCCCCAGATCAAGTTGGAGGAGTAGGAGTGAAGCCTGTCGGATTGGCCGAGTGACTTGAATGGAAGAGGTTGCAGTTTTCCCGTGACAAGTGATGGGGAAGTTTCGGCTTCAGCAGACAGGCGTCCATTAGTAGTGTTGATGCCTGACTCCGGTAGAACATCCCTTAAATGGTAGGGTGACGGACAATGATGGATTAAGACAGCTGCTTCTCACAGCACCGAGCGGCACCCTCAGGAATGCATCTTGGGGCAAGGCCCAAGCTTTGCTGGCAGCGGCTGGAACAACACAGAAATGACAAGAGATGTAGGTCATTGAGTCATTGATGCACCAGTGCGATTGGCTTTTACGCAGTAGATTGCCCATTTACGCTGGAAAATGGTTCTACATCAGCTGACCTTTGCATTTACCAAGTTCGTTGGGTACCTGTACTCAATGATATTGCCAGGACTGGAGTATCTACCTTAGGACCTTTCCTTCGCTTACAGCCGCCGTGTCTGACTGGGCCCCTTCTTGGATCTGGGGCCCCTGCTCTTGGCCTGGCAAAACTCAGGAGTAGCTGCATTCTCTGGTTGCGGCCCTCTTTGGCCATTGACGCTTGTTAGGTTTACCCAGATGGCTTCTGCTTTTGCTTCTTCTTCTTCTCCTTCTTCTTCTTCTGTTTTACAGTTTTCCTTTCTTCAGGCGTTCGAGACCTATGACACTGAGATCCCAACCCCTCGCACCAACCGACTCATGCTTGAGGGATCCCTGGGCAGCTGCTTGGCTAGAATGCTGGGGGAGGGCAGTGGCTTCTTGTTGCACATCAAGAAGTGACGGAGATTAAACGGTGGAGAATTGTTAAGCCTTTCATGCTGACGTGTTCTCCTTTGGCTTCAGCACTTTCTGAGATTTCTAGAGTCTTTCCCTTGACAGCGCATGAAGATTGGCCTTTGATGTGACATGCCTAGCTTGTACCTTCAACTTCAAATCCACAAGTCACAGATTTGCACGACTAGTTAAACAAGGGATACATCGTCTCACTTGAGTGGAAGCTCCCTTTCCCTGCGAAAGGCTTCTGAGCGCAGGCAAAGTCGGTGTGATTACTCGAAATGGCAAAATGGCAAAGGCCCGCTCTTGGACTCGTTGATTTCCAGTTGCAAACCAGTTGAGCAGGTTTCCCTGGAAAAGAACAACAGAAGAGCCAAAACATCAGAGCTGTTTAGGCCGTTTGCCATCCAAGCTGTTTCATTTCGCCTGGACCCCCACGTGATCCAACGCGAAACTTGTGGGCCATTGGTGAACAGCCTGGAGGGCTGGGAGTGGTGCATGGCCACGTAGGGCTGGATGAGGACTCGCCACCACGGCGGTGGCTGCAGATCATCCAAAGCCCAGAGAAATTCGTATAGTTCTTGCAGATATCCGGAATGAAAAGAAAAAACAGAGTACAGTGTTTCGGCCTTTTGAAGAGCCACGGCCTAATGCAGATCACAGCTCGCACGTTTTCCTCGCGAGCGGATGAGTCGGCATAAAGACACTCGCCAAATCGACATGGCGAGCCCAAGCTGGAGTGCAGCTTATGCCAAGAGTGACACATGGCAAGTGATGTAGGCGTCAAGCCAGAATGATCAACTGCTCAACATGTGCACTGCCCAGCAAGGGGACGTGCGTCATTGAAAAAGGACGCACACTTTGCTCTGCTGTTTTCTGGAGCCCATTTCCCCAAAAGAATGTTTGGCAGATCTTTGCAGGTATGAACGGGAGAACGACCTATATACATTATCCTTTTTCAAAGCCCGCCCTTACTTACTGTAACTAAGTAGGTGCCTACTTAATTAAGTAAGAGAGTAAGCTCCTAGCTACTCTACTAGTAACTAGTAACTGGACGCAGGATAGCTCACGCTTCTTCAAGGAAGCTCTCCCCGCCTGAGGGCGGGGGGGAGCTTCCTTGAAGAAGTGCTCGCACTAATGCTTTAGTTCTTAGATTTTTAGGGAAAAGTAGCATCAGCAGAAATGAAATCGTATCTTCCTACCAGCCAGAAGCTAGAAGAACTCTACTCGTCTTAGAAGGCCTTGTTTTCGCTGATGGAGGCAAGTGCAAACTTCCCGACGTATTTATCTTGAAACGTCCGACTGCATTTAGTCGAACTTGTCCAAATTTAACCCAAATTTGACTAGTAGCAAGAAGCTAGTAGGTTGGAGGCCATCGCTACTAGGTTGGAGGCCATCGCTATTACGTTGAATGCCATCGCTACCGGGTTGGAGGCCATTCCTACTAGTAGCAAGAAGCTGACAAGTCAGATGATTGCCACAACCCGTTGATCTGCTCTGTGGGCTCCAGTCAGCACTGGTCTTCCAAGAATGCGCAGCGGATGCTGAACACCGCCGAATGGCCCTACCCAAACTGACCTTCATCGCCACAAGGAATGGCCTCGGATGTATTCTAATTCTATTTTCGGCGAAGACTTCGGTGATTGAGTTCTTTTGACACCTTGTAAGATGTTCTGACATGCTAGCTGTGCCAGTTGTATTTCTGTAGGTCACTGCTGGTGGAACAGCTACACCACCGTACCTACTGCTTGTGCGCGACAGGGTGAATTCTTAAGAAAACTACTCCTTCGTCAACAAAGACGTTCACCACATGAGACCCACTTTAGTTTCCAAAGCTTAAGCCTTGTTCCAAAGCTCAGGGCGCCGGTGTTGTTCAGCACTCCGGTGAATTTCTGCCCTGACGGACGGCTGTCTTTTTCAAGCAAGTGCACCGTCCGGGCGCCTCGCCTGTCATTCCATTCCACGCTTGGACATGATTTGCCTTTGGTCCCTGGGAGTCCAGGATCATGATCACAAAGTAGTTTTTTTTGCAGGGTTGAGGGCAGGATGGCATCCTCCATAGCATTTGTTGGAGGCACAACACCAGGCAATCTTAATCTTCCCAATATGGGTCAACACGTTGTGAATGGGATGAAAGGATCAATCTGTGCGAATTGGGCACTGCGAGCGCGTTGGTCGCTCATGCCTTTGCACCTGCTGGAATTTTCACGCCAATTGGAGAACAAGCTCTTGAGTAGGGACGAAAGTGTTTGGAAGCATAACCCAAACCTCGACAGCAGTTTCCTGCACTTACACCATGTTTCTTGGAGCCAAACATGAACTTCAATGCTTGGGATGGTGATCGAAGATGCGCACCTTTGTGGCATGGTAAGTTCAATTTGTATAAGCATGTGTTTCCGCAGGCATTTGCTGCCTGCTGAGAAACTGTTGCTCACGACTTTGATCCTGAGTTGTTCGACCACTTTCAAGGAAACAAGTGACTTCTGTTGTTTGACAGCCACCGAATCTATTCATTGAGCAGATCCTTTGTTTCGCTTCATCCAAGCTTGGCAATTGGCAGTGTGCTAATCAGGCATGCACTTTCAGTGAGCAATTTTGCCCGAGACTGTATAAGGGGAGGTTCAGGAGGATGGCTGCAGCGGGGCTTTATCTTCAGGCCATGTGAACGAACCATGTGAAGCTTTCCTGTTGTTGGAAGAGAGATTAGGCTTGAACAACCATGTTGTGTACTTAATGCTTCAAACAGGAAGCTGGACAGGATTGGTACCGCTGAGATCAGTTCGAACATGATGAACGATCAGTTGCGGCAAGACAGCAGACAGCCAACACAGACATACCGCGAGTAGAAACGACTGGATCTGAGGATTCCCTGGAGAGTATGTTTTGCATGCCAGCTATTGCCAGCTTGTGTACTGTAAATGAAGTGATCAAGGACGATCACAGACTGTCCTACCAGCTCTGTCCTGCCAGCCACAGACTGACCGGTCCTCCCATCTTCGAGTTTGCGAAGGGTCTGGATACCTTGTTTTCCGTCTGGGTGAGCTCTGCCTACAGACCTTTTCGTCATCAAACAGTATGTTGGCTCGAAGCATGACGCTCTTGGTGTTGACACAACACATGCTTCTCTAGGCCTTGGCGAACAGGCAAACACTACGTGTTGCAGCAGATGAGCTAGGCTCAAAACTATTGAAAGTGACAAATAGTCAGTGAGTGGTCATGGGAGTTCAAAATGAATGTTTGGCACAAAAAACGACAATACACTCACCGAATTCTGATGACCTCCAACTCCACCACAAATTTTGACCGTCGCTCATATCGCTGGTGTGATCACCAGAGCTCATGAGGATGCCCTACGTACGTGTTGGGCAGGAAAAGAACACATCAATTCATGCAGCACGTGCGTCAATAGGTGCTCTCAAGAAGGTCCCCGATCAAGCAACAATACCCCGGCCTCACTTCGACATTAACTTGTGCCTCCTACTTGGCTTATTCATGATCTGCCTTGCAATATCCTACCACTTGCTGTAGGGGATTCTTGCAAAAAGTCTTCAACAGCCTGAAACATCAAGTCTTTTGGAAAGGACAGCACAGGTATTTGTGAAACTTGTCCAGCCATGTTTTCAGAAATCAGAAACCAGACATCTTCCGCCAGTACGTGGGAAGCTCTTAGGACTTGGCATGACACTGATGAGACACTTGCTCTGAGCCTGATTGTGCGGCCTGTGGCCAAACAGCCCGCCGGGCGCCTTGGTAGAAGGAACACTCCTGACATGCACATACACACAGTGCGTTTGAGATCATTCTGTGTGTTCGTGGCACCCTCAAGAGCTCATGACACGAAGCTGGTCAAGCAGAACTATAACTTCATCTCAGTCTATGATTGGGTCTCACGCACAACCATCCACCCCTCTTTTTTTTATAAGAGAATCAGAAGTATCCCTTCCAGTTTGGAACCAACATTGCAGTCAATGTCAAATGTGAGTCCAAGCATAGGGAAGAAAGGTTGCTCAAGCGCTTTCCATGAGCTCGGCCGAAGCCTTTGGGTTGCCATCGAACCCCTGGCGCCTAGCCTTGTGCGTTTCAGTTTCTTGCTCGGCAATGTCAAGCGACAGGTGTGAAGTCGTATCTTGTGGAACCAGCAAGTTCACTGAACAAATGAGTTGAGTAGGAAATAGCAAAGTACTTATGTAATTTATGTATCATCATGTATGTATACTAAATGGCTCCAGGTATCCGCTCCGGCAGAGATATGTAGAGAACGTGAGAACGAACGTTTCCGAATACGGAAGACACCGCCAGAAAGCAATCGAAGCATGGTTAGACCTAGAGTTCTTTGCTCAAGGTGTGCTTGCTAAATTTTAAGCTACCTCTACATGTCGTACGTGTTTTTTTCCCTTCCTGGACTTAGCAGATCGGATGTTTCCATTCTAAACTCCCGTTCAACATGAAACTATACATTGATTTGGTTTGTGGACGCCTGCAAGATTGCCATTTGTCGCTGGGTTGCCTTCAATTCGTGGGCGCTTGGTCTGGGTCTTTCTCTTGGCGCATGCCTATTGACCATTGCTACCACAAAGATTCAAGGTTCCCATTTGAAAACCTTGATCATGTGCATGGTAGATGTCTCGTGTGAAGCAGCAGCAGTGCCATTTAGCCTGATATTTGCACTCAAGTGTGGGCAAACCTAACTGGTTGCGATCCATAAACAGCCTTTGCGCAACTAGGGCATAGTGGCTTCTAGAATTATAGAATCTACTTTCACAGAATTCATACAGGGAAGGGTACATTGTGCCAGCCAGGTTTTAGCAGAATTTCAATCTTGAAGCAGGTTGAAGCAGTTCGCAACATTCCAGGGACATGATGGATGAGACTGTTGATGAGACTGATTTGAAATGTTCAATCAACCCTGTTAAACTTTTAAACTCTGCTTCTTCTTCCCACTTCCTTCGGGATGCCTTAAGTGGTTGACAAGGGAGCGATGTGAGTTTGCAATCGGCAAGAACTACCCCTTTTGATTCAATGTTGGCACGTGACCCCTGCTGCTGGACACCGGGAGTACGCCAGCGATGCTTCAAAATGGATGTGTCGAAGGAGTTTTAGCAGATTCGATTTCTTCGGACGAATGAGTGCGTGAGCATCTTGTTTTCCACTGCACTCTTCTTCATTGACCGCGATTTCAAGTGCAGCTCGATCTTCTCCGACCCATTTCTCTTGCGCCCAATCTCGGACCACCGAGCGGAAAAAAGCAGTGTGCTCAGCCTTTCCGGGTTGGACATCTCAAGGCTGAGCAGATGAGCACAAGACGCTTGCCCAAATTTTCCAGCTTTTCGGCATCTTCTACTGGACTCACAAATTTGATCTACTGTATTTCGTTGACATACGGAATGAACAGACGTGACATACGGATCAACTGTCCAAGCCCACAGGTGCGCCGTTGAAGGCTGATTCGATTATTTGAAGGCGGGATGGCGGAATGGGATTCTAGGGTGAGAACAGCGACCAAGTCGTGAGGCTACCTGTCCATGCATTGGATTCAACATGATGGCATCTTTGGATTCAACTCATACAAGATCGACCAGGCTTTGGGCAGCCCAAGCGTGGTGGAATCGACGTTCTCTTGCCCCGCGCACGGTCAGGTTTCACAAGCCGAGAGCCACCATCTCTTGCACTGCGGAACAAGTCCAGCGTATGCAGCATAATGAACTGGATGCGTTTGCTTCTTTCGCTGCTTGGGTTTTTGCTACCTTTCGTGAACACTGGTGTTTCTGATGCATCAGGTCTGAATGTACGTGATTCATCAGGTCTGTAGTGCCCCCCAACGGAACACCCGGACCTGTTGGTTACATTGGTTTTGAGATCCACGATGAAAGTGCTGCGTGTCCAGTTCTCTAGCTGCTCCCTGGGGCAACCAATGCACCGAATGACTGCGCTTGCACACAAAGACCTGCAGCTTGTAGTTCGTAGTCGTAGCGACAAGGTCAGGTTTCATCCTTTTTGCCACGCACTGGCGCGTGGATGCCCGGACGCACTCGGACGAGGTAGATGAAACCTGAAGCGTCGATTCAGGTTGACAAAGGTCGCCTGGTAGGAGAGAACGATCGCCTTGGATTTGTTCCGAAACAGACTCAACAGATCTATACAGATGATGGCAGTATACTAATCCAAGCAGAACAGACTTGGCTTAGCCGCCGAATGGATGATTTCACCTTGGCGCATCGAAGACCTCACCAACTCTGAAAGGCAGAGGTGGTGGGGCTAAGCAAGGATCATGATGATCATGAGACGTGTGGCTCAGTGTGCAAGCGAAATGCGTTTGACCCAATTGCAAGAAAAAGAGTGCCGGGTCAATGTATTCTGTCAGGTTTCAGCTGAATCTGAACCGTTGCTTTTGGTGTAGCCAGGCAAAGGAGGATTCGTTACCATTTCATGCCCCTCTACTCTAATACCAAATCGGTCAAATCAAATCAATTTGTGTTTGCATTTTTGGTTTGGCTCACAGCTTGCCATCTCCAGCCACTGCCCCTTGCGGCCCCTTCTGCTGGGGTCTTCGGTTTGAAAGGAAGCACAGTCTTTTCATGATGATTTCCATTTCAGTGCGCCATGCGCATCATGGTGCCTTGTTGCTGACTTTGTATCATATCGTTCTTTTCGAGGCAAAGGTAACTCTTATTTCCTGCCTGGCACAATGCAGATGTACCCCAGTCCCATTATATACAGATATAATTTAGAAAAAAAAAGATGCTTTTGTGCCCCCACGAATGCAAGAGTGCCCTCTCAGCTTCAGAACAAAGCTATGTTGGAAACCTGTCACCATTTTTTTGCATGCTCTCTCTCTCTCCCTCTGTTTGGAACACATTGTGTGATTGACTTGAAATGGTCAAAGCCCGGTACGGATAGGATTAAATGGTGCAAGCGTCCGAGACCTGTTGTCAGCCCAGAGCATGTTTGCTCTCTGAGGTCCTGACACAATGACGATGTTCACTGCTGCCGTTTGCTTCACATCCTCTGTGATCACTATGGTTAGGGACTCAGGGGCATTGAGTCAACAAAGGCAGCAAAGTTATATAACTGGAGTTTCCGGCTCTTCAAGGGATTCAAGCACGGTTTATCGCTTACAGCGCCTTGATATTTCAACCTCAGCACCATTTGTGCCCTTGATTGACGAACTTGATGAGTGAAGAAAGGTTGTGGAGCTAGATACCTTGGCCTGCGCTCGTTGGTTTGTTGGCTGATTGTTTGGCTCAACAAAGCTGAGCCCGATCAGGCCCGCCACCCTGCTCTCCGATCCTCCCACTCGCGCTCGTGCGGAGACCTTTTCTATCCAAAGATGTTTGATTTTTTTCTCATGATTGGTGAGCGGTATTTTGTGATCTTAAGAGAATAGCCATAGCTCATAAAGGACTCTCTGGGTCTTTTTCCTTGACAGACCTCTTTCCCAGACGGCGCCCGTGCACCCAGGTCATCGTCATCATCACGGTCGTCGTCATCGTCATCGTCGGCTTCACTTTAAGGAGTCTGATGACAGGGTCGTCTGGTTGTTTCAGCGAGAGGTTCGTCTACGTCGAGGGATGTTGGACTTCAAAGGTTTGCGATTGGCTGGGAGACTTGCGATCATGGTGCTTCTTTTCGTGCTATCATCGTTTGCAGTGAGGATGTCGGAATCATAATAGGTTTCCAGATTCTAGTGGTTTGCTGATGTTAATCGATCTTCCCACCCTCGTTTTTGATCAAAGTTGGTTGTCCATGATTCTGTGAAAGAGGAGCGAAGCCGACCTCCTTTCTTCCGCAGGTGGGACGTGCAGGTAGTGTCAAGGAACGTGAGCGGGGAGTTGTGGTCCTCAAGATTTCTTCTTGCTGATTACCACTGTGTGACAAGGATACCATTTTAACATACTGTACTGTATTTTAACCAACGCTGTCTGGAAACAACTTTTTATCGATGACATTGCCAACACTGCCTTTCCTTGTCAGGTGATGCCCTTTGGTGCCTCGAGGCTTTGGCAGTGTTCCATGTTTCTTCCACTCATTTGGATGTCAAGACGGCAGGCCAAGATCATGGTGTCACGGGCATGAGCCCCAGTCAGTTGAGCAGATCAATCTAGATCAACTCTGAAGATTAAGATGGAATCAGCATCAATCCTGTTTTTCCCCACATAGCGTGAGCTATTGGGGTTCTTACATCAAGTAGAGGAAGAGCTGCGTGTGTGCGTTTTCGAGCCTGGGTGCTGGTGCCGCTGCAGGGTGCCGCTGTTGTTCCAGTGTAGAAGATCTGTGTGTGTGTGCGCGTTTGTGTGAAACCCTTGGAGTTATAGGGAATCCTTTGATTATGTAACTTGCTTTCGTGTTTTTCTTTTTAGCAGGGGGCTCAGGCCCATCGTGGAAGCCTGTGCCATTTCCACGATGCGGAGATTGATCACCTCCGTGTACCTGCTGAAGTGTGTGGCGTTTGGTAACTATGCTCTCCTCTAGAAGTCAGGCTGTTTAGGTAATGACAGGTCTGCAGAGAAGTGCTCGCCGTTCGCTTCTTCGTCGATTTCGTTGTTTGTTTTTTGAAGAATTTGGGTTTCGAGCTGCTGAACATGGTTGGGCTCCGCTCCATTTCCTTTCAGGTTTCAATTTACCTGGATTCTTAGGTTTCCACTTAGGTTGGCGTGTTTCAAACCGCAATCATGTCAGTACGCTTTATCTTGAGTGTGTGCGTGCTCGCGCTTAGGGGCTGGTGCCGCTGCAGTGCTGTTGCTGTGTGCGCTTGGAAGCTTGCTCGCAGGGTGCGGCTGCAGGATGCCGCTGCTGTGTGCGCTTGGGAGCTTGCGTGCTGGAGCCGATGCAGGGTACCGCTGTGTGCGTTTGGGTCCTTTTGTGAGCCGTTTGCACTTTGGAACTTCAGTGATGGTGCCGCTGGAGGGCGCTGCAGGGTGCCGCAGCAGTGTGCTGCACACAAAATATTATTTGCTATCTGGGGTCTATGCTGGCCTACGTTTTAATGCTTCTTTGTACCACCTGCGGCCACCTGCGGAGTCCGCTGACTTTTCAGACCAAATCAACTGAGCTGGGCTTCGTTGCCGCGTTCATTCTAGCCTTGCCGGATGATCCAGATTCATGCAAAGCCGTGTGTGTTTGTTTGTGTTTACGGCAGTTTACGCCTCTACGCCATGATGGCTACCGGGGTGCTCAGGCAATCACGAGGGTATGCGCACGCTCCACTCGCTCCAGAAAATGGGAGGCCTTGGAACGCAATAGACCGGTGCAGTGCTTGTAGCTGCAGCGTTGGTTGTGTTATATAAATCATTCTAAATCGATCTTCTACAACTTTGACCTGGCCTGGCGTGCTTGCTTCCCTGGTCCAAAAATTTGTTGCCCATTCGATGGAACCTGGTGGAACACTGATGCTGTGCAAGGGGACTAGTGAACACTAAATACCTCCGAACACCGTACGGTCAATCCTCGCCAGTTAATTGTATTTGGACATGGTGAGACGTCCATGCTGGGGCTTGAGGTCCGAGTGATGCAACAGCTATGGAGGCAGACGGGTACTTCGTATGGGTTTCTTGAACATGCGCAGTAGCAAGTAGAATTTCAACAGGGTTGAACCTCAGAGATCCACCTAAAATGCTGAGATCCTGCAACTCGCCAGCTGGGTTGCTTGGGAACCCAACGGAGTCGATGGAGTCTGAGTGTTCTTGGCTCAGTCGCAGACTCCCATCACAGGCTCCTACAGCGATTACCCGCGGAGCGTCGCAGAGAAAGTTTGGAGTCTGGAACCTCGGTGACTTCTTGGTCCCCACCAGCTTCACAGCTTGTGACGTTGACATTGAGCCACCAGCTCCGGGTTAAGGCGGCTCACCGTGCCTCAGCAGCAGGCCTTGGAATGCCACAGCCTTCAGGAAGGGGACACCTTTAAGGCTTTAAGGCTAACCTTGGATTTCTTGCCATTAATCCTTTGGAATTGTTTGTATGCGTTGTGTGCAAGCGTAGCAGCGTAGCATGCCATGCTGAGTCTTCATTCTTCAAGACTGACTGTCGATTCGTCGATTAGAAGCTTTTCTTTGGTTGTTTGAAACGATTGGCACTGCAACGTAGCCTTTAGGAACATGTTTGCTGTTGTGCCAGTAGGTACAAGTAGGCCTTGTTTTCAAGTAGGGCTGAGAGGTCCTTGGTGTGCTTGCAGGGACCAGAAAGAAACAGGACGATTTTTTGGGAGGACACGTCTATCTCCTTCGCTCAGCCGTTGCCCCTTACAGTTTCGTGAAGAAGAATGTGTCAAGGGCTGATGGCAGAAGACCCACACGCTACATTTGCATGTGCATCATCCTCCTTGTCAGATTGCCTCCAAGTTTTTTCCACGCGAACGAACTCCCCGCAAAGTGAAGCAAATCCAAGCAGATCAAACCAGATCCCGTTCACAGCACGAGTCATCACCGCTTTCTTTGACATTTGAAAAGTTCTACTGGAATCATGAGCCGCATGAGCTCTGACAAGATCTCTCGCCCATGGCGCAGGCTGCTGAAGCTCTTCACCATTGCGGCTCTTGGCGCTCTTCGCGGATGGGTGTTCGCAGCCCCTGGACCCAGATTCACATCTCACCTGACCCGCCATGCTGGCACTGGAGGTTTGGAGGATATCCAGAAGATGAGGGCTCGAGAGATCAAGAAAGAGTTGGAGGATGCAGGTGTCGATATCTCTGACATCTTTGACAAGGATGATCTGGTGGAGCGTCTTCACCAGCTCCGCAGCGGTGTCATCCATGGAACTTCCACCTCCACCTCCGCTGATTCCAGTGATCGCTGCGATCGCAGCGGGGTGGCTTCAGAGCACGACGGTGCGGGTGCCGATACCACCGAGGGTGCGAGCTCGGAGGCGAGAAGTGCGCCAGGCCCTCAGAGTCACTCGAGCGACACCAGTGAGCCAAGCGACTTGATGGCAAAGTGCAAGGCCATGAGAGTGAAAGAGCTGAGAACTGAGCTTGGGCAGCGAGGCATCAGTTGGGCAGATGCCTTAGATAAGGATGAACTTGTTGAACGCCTTGCCGGAGTTCTACAGAAGGAAGCCTTATTTTGCAGTTCAGGCCGACTAAAGCCGGGCATGGTCACCAAGATTACTGGTGCAGAGTTGGAAGAAGAGCTCCGAGATTCAACCACTCCGTTGCTTTTGGATGTCTATGCCGTTTGGTGTGGACCCTGCAAGATGATGGAGCCTCAGCTGGCGAATGCTGCCAAGGCCTTGGGGAACCGCGTTCGTGTGGCGAAGATGGACTCGGATGAGGAGACCAATGCCTCCAGCAAGCTGAGAGTTGAAGGACTTCCGACCCTCATCTTGTTTGATCGTAAAGGAAATGTGGCACAGCGAGTTGAGGGTGCCTTGATGGAGCAGCAAATTATCGATCTAGTTAATTCAGCCAATCTCTGAGCACCAAACTGTGCAGACCAGAGGTTGCAGAACGAAGAGGTCGGATCAACGACATGTTGTCTTTTCAATGGAATTCTTTATATATACATACCAAATCATAGCAGAGGGTCCAGCTAGAAAGGACCAATCTCATTGAGTCAATGGACCAGTGGGGGGCTTTTAAGAATGGACATGCTTTGGATGCTTTGAAGAAACATTTGTGTCTGCTGCATTAGTGTTGGCACGAACGCGCTTTCTTGAGGCTTGATCGAGAGAGCACGTTGTTTTCAGAGGTTGAAATTGTAAACATGAACAGGTCTTGAAGAAGTATGTTTTTTTCTTAGTGGGAAAAAAGCCACACAATTCACAATTATCTAAAACAAAGAAGGACAGGAAAAGAGAAAAAGAACAACAATAAAAGGAAAGAACGGCCACTGATGTGAATCCTTTCCATCGAGGCTGGGTCTTAGCCAATGCTGTGACGGCACAGAAGGTCTGCTCCCAGGCGTCGGCTTGACGCGAAGATTTGTGCAGATGGACAGATTGAATAAGGAAAGTTGGTAGAAGAAGAAAAGACATGAGCCAAGGAAGGTAAGGGTATATAAGCCCACCTTTAAAGAAGCCTAACCTTCCTTTCTCTTTTTTCTTCTGATGAAATTACATGTCTTCTCTTTTGCATGGCCAATCCTTGACCCTTAGTTACTATTTTTTTGTTAAGACATGGCTGTAATAGGTGCCTCCAACATCCCGTGATGTTTCTTTTGTGGGCCACGTGTTTCTCCTATGTTTCTTGCCATACAGGCATCATATAGCTCCAAGCTCCGATCCAGTCGGCAGAAGAAGCCGATTGAGCCGGCTGCCTTGGAGGCGGAGAGAGCAGGCATTAATTCCCAGACCCAGAGTGGAAAAGAGGCCTAGTCTTGAGCACCACCAAAGCAACAAAGAAGAGGACTCCTCGTCAGATGGACGTTGCTTCTTTCTAATTCCTTACTTAGTGGGCTGGCTGCTACACTCCAATTTTGTTGGATACTCAATGTTTTGCCACCTCAAAAGGGATGGATCCCCTCATGACTTGGCATGAAGGCTGGAGCTTGGAGCCGCGGGGCGAGCCGGAACATTGTGCGCTACGTCCGGGGCCAGGTGTGAGGGTGCGGCGCAAACGAGATGAGTGGCTTCCTGTAGAAGATTGGAATCTAGCAGCTTGAACTTCCCATGGACGCAACCTGTATTCGGTGTGCGTTTCTTAGCCATGCAGCGGTGTGGCTGGAAAAGGATATTCAGGGGTTCAATGCTTCAAGATTGGTGTTGTCAAGAATCAGCTTCCATCAGCAGACATTCAACCGCGAAGACTCCCCTCTGGACACCTCAAAGACAAGACAAAACCTGACTGAAATACTTGTCAAACATGTTTCTGCTTCCGTTTTTACTTCCCTCGCCTGTAGCAGGGGAGATGCTACTACGCCGTGACCCAAGCAAGTAACTGCTGATCCTGCGAACGCAGATTGGCCCAAGCACAAGTGCATTATGTCAAGCCCTTTTGTGCTCAGGCCGCGCAACTGCAACTTGGCCATGGACTGCGTATGCTGTCCAAGACAGATCCGTCTTTGAAGGTTGGCTATTGGTTGCAGCAACAGAGCATCGAAATTCTTCAGGACAAATGTCATGTACACGCATACAGACTACAGAAACGCACCCGCCCAAACTCGTGGGTAGAGCTTGAGATATATACATATATGTATATATATATATATATATATATTGTGTGACAGTATAATCACATTATCACGAAAGCCAGCCGATAGGCAAGGCTTGAAGTAGGAGAGCGAACGAAGGGTGTGTGGGGGGTGGTCGCCAGAGAGGTGAACCCTGGTGGGGGAGAGTGAAAAAAGAGGTGGCCACTTGGTAGTGAACAATGAGTGATTTTAGGGGTCTTGTGATGCCGGTGATGTAATTGCCGGCCATCAGCATCACACGGGGCTCAGGAGGCAATGTAAACCGCTTTCTACCAGGGGTGGAGTTCATGTCAATGATAGGCAAGAGGGGGCAACGGGACGCGAAAATTGGTTGGAACTCGTCCAGAAAAGGGAGATGCGCGCCTCTCAGGGCCAGTGAAAGGGAGGTGTGTGTGCTATGGGGAAGGTGGAAGACAGGCATAGCGTAGGAGGATAGGAAAAGAGTGTTTGCAAGAAATGTTAGAGTTGCTTGGAGGCGCCCTTTTTTAATGGTGAAGACGCCTGTCAACTATACGCAAAAGGGCACCCCATATGGGGCGCGAGTTCATGTAACGCTGTGGTCCGTTGAGGGCAGGAAAGAGAACAAAATACAGCCGGCAAGCTTTGAGTTGCTTGGGGGTGCCCTTTTTAAAAGGTGAGGAGGTCTAGTTGCCGACTCAAAAGGGCACCCCATGTGGGGTGGGAGCTCATGTGGACGAGACAGGCATAGTGGAGGAGGACGTGATAGGAAAAGAGGATAAAAAGAGGGATTGCAAGAAACGATGTGACCCATTCATTGAGAACAGGGAGGGAACAGAATGCGGCGGGCAAGCTTTGAGTTGCTTGCGGGTGCCCTTTTTTATGGTGAAGAGGCCTGTTGACCAGACGCAAAAGGGCACCCCATATGGAGTGGGAATTCATGTGCAAAATGGGCATAGGAGGTGATAGGAAAAGAGGCGGGGAGCTTAGCAGGGTTCTCGCATTCACCCCCACATGACCATATTGATATCTTTTACTGTGGCTGGCTTTCGTCCCCTCCCTTCTCAGGTACTTATACTGTAATATGCACACACCAACTCTTTCAGGATGCCTGACAACTTAGAGGGATGTTCACAATTCTTTGATCAAGACTTGCCAAATTCATTGCAAGAAGTTGCGCGATGACACATGTTCATTGCCCACCCATCCATCCACCACTCGCTGCGCTGCGCAGGTGGTGCACGGCTACGAAGCCTCGCTCCGGAGCATCCAAGAACGGTGTCGTGGCAGCTCCATGGAGCGCATCGAAGAGGATTGGGGATGCGGATTGGGCCATTGTTTCATTGGTCGTTGCAAATGGAATCGGACACTAAGGGGATGGGAACCAAACATTTTGATATAGTGTAAGTTTAAGTGATTCCTTTTCGGGGCGATTGGAAATGGTAATATTATTCTATTCAGTAAAGTTTGGGGACTATGCAGAGCTAGCAGTTGGCCAACTAGGTCTTACTGGCAAATGCAGGTAAATGCAACTCAATTCGGCAATGAAGTACAATAAGAACTACCCCGAACCAAGTCTGCAGGGCACCCATCTACACACCCAAAGCTCGACCCCATCGAGTGAGTGAATTCTCATAATAGCGATGGCCTCCAACCTAAGAGCGATGGCCTCCAACCTCTAAGAGCGATGGCCTCCAACCTAAGAGCGATGGCCTCCAACCTCTAAGAGCGATGGCCTCCAACCTCTAAGAGCGATGGCCTCAAACCTCTAAGAGCGATGGCCTCAA